TTAATTTTGTACTTAAAATATTCTAAAAGAAACATAACAATATTGTTTTATGTACTTTCACTTTTCACGTATAGTATAACTACTCTTTAAGATTAAGTACTGTGTATCTCAAAAACCAGAGCTAATAAAAATTTTCCATTGTTATTTTCGTTTTTATCATCCCAAAATTAGTAGAAATTGACTAATTTAGTGTAGGAAACATTCAAAAAATATTTTTTTGTTGTGTTATGTTATTATTGTTTCTTACGCGTACTCGGAACGTTATCTCTCAAACAGCGATAACGCCACCGCTAAAACTGGTTATCCACTTCCGTTCTGGATCTCTCATAATACCACTACTATTATGGACAGACTAAATGATCTATTGAAATAAGATATAAGGAACACTTAGCACACCTAAAATATGGAAGACCAGAAAAATCAGCAGTCGCCCATCATATTTTGTAACAATGCCATTTCACAGTCTGTATGATGACTGCTACCTAGGACCTTCCGACTTATTTTTTAGTTTTCAGTACATTTTTCCATGAAACCGTTGAACATACATTTTTTTGACTTATTTTATTTTCAAGGTTTAGTTTCTAATTTTTATCTACCCTAATGCCACACAGTTTTCGGCACGTTTTGACCTTTTACCTTAACTTGGGTGGGGTATCGCTAACGACACAGAGTCCTCGACACGATACGAAATCTTGACTTGGGTGGGAGATCCATAGTTGTAACCCGATTCTGAGTTGACAAAGTTCTTTTGTATAGATTATATTGGATTTGCATCTTTTTCATAGTGTACTACTATAGTACTAGTCAAGCACTGTCATTTGTACCTATATTGAGGTAGTTGTGAAAAAATATATAATCCGCCATTGTGTAGCTGCGGCCATCTTGAATTTTTATCTTTTTCAAAGTGTACTACTATTCCACTTGTCAAGCCCTGCAAAGAGATATTTCCAAACCTCTACAAGATAAAACAAATCAATTAAGTGTTTAAAAGAGGGATTAAATTGAAATGCCAATTTTCCTGATCTCATGTCTGGCAAAAGTAAAAGAAACTGTTAAAAGAAATGGATTAGGTGGATTTCTAGAAAAAAATTGAAATTTTGTCTCCTGTGCAATAGCGTTAGGGCGGCCAGATCCATTCGGGATACAATAGCTACAGTGTACGTCAAAAATATCCCACTTGCGATGATTATGAAAAGCATCTGCTTTTTGTTGAGTTGGTTCTGACTAATACTCGGAAACTATTTTTGATGGATTTAACTAATATGTATGAGCTTCACAGTTCCTTTGTTAGTTCTTAGTTAGTTAGTTAACAAAGCTTTTACACGACGAAGTAAATTTTCCAGTATATAATCTGGGAAAGTCTACAAAATTTGTTTTTACAAGTATTTTGAACCAGTATGTTATTTTTAGAATACTCGTAAATGCTTCTTCACCAAATAACCAAACATCACTCTACGTCAAGTGAAAACAGAGGATATGTATTGTCAAGCTTGAAAATTCGGATTGGTGGAAAAGTGAAGTCTTCATCTCCTGAAGACGTGAACTTGGTTGGTGAAACGCGCGTCGAGAAGATTACCTATTGCACTTCTGGTGCACTTCTAATGCATCTGCCTGTCAGTATGTCCAGCATATGCGGTCTCAGCCTATATCCATCGACAGAACGCAGATTAGTGCTTTATTACTATCTACCGAACTTTTACTGTATTGATAAGACATAGGTCTTGCCCTATGGTCCCCGGGAAATATTGAATTCATTGCAACTATTCAATACTCTCCCTCAGGCTCATAAAGTTTATAAGTCTGATGTAGTTCTCTACCATCAGATCAAGACGATATTTGTCGAGGAGTTTTCAGCTCCCGGTGAGGCGAAAATCGTCCGAATAGAGATGGAAAATGGATAAAATGTCGAAATTTTCTCTTTGAACTCAGAAGACTCTCCAGATCACTCTATTAAGATAGTTGTTCTGATTATTGGAGTCGTTGGTGAAATAATGCCCTCTCTACTTTCGAAACTTTAGATCATGCCGACTTGCCGCACGAAGGCAAAACTCTTGGCAAGACAAATGTGGAAGACTGTCATCCGTTCTGCTTAAAGCACATAATTCTCGGCCGTAATGATCACTTACCCCACGGTGTGGGGAATGGTCATTGGTTGATGATGTCATAAACTATTTTCAAAAATTTCAAGACATATACTGAGAACCCTGTTTTTATTGTGATATTTGTATGTCTAGGTGTTCAGATAAAGACTGGTGAAGACCCTCTGACTGGTGAAATGAAAATGAGTGGTTTCAATAAACAGCAGCAAAATAGAAACAGTAAGTTTGCATCCAATAACCGTTTTACTAAGGTCAGTATGCGCCTTCTGAAACTGGCAGGGCACGAAAATGTTCAATTGCCACCACAACTTCCAAGCAAAATTGAGGAAAAACGGGGAAGAAATAAATTTGAGACTGAAAAGCCTGTACAAAGTGAAAATCGTACTCATAGAAACGGCAGATTTGAAAAAGTCAAACGAAGAAATGATAGGGACCAGAAGGTAGAATGTAGAAAAGTTGAAAGCCGTTTGGAGGATCATCGCAAGATATGTAGAGAAAATGAACGGCGATTAGAACATAATCGTAAACTAGATAAAAGGGACATAGAAGCAAAAGATACAGATAGAACAGGCAGGGAAAGAGAAAGGTAAGATTATTCATTTATGTTCATTTAAATAGATAATAATAATGATAAAGTTTTGCATACCATTCCATTTATTACACAAATACAGAAAATCTCGTTTGGAGTTTAAAAATGCAATTGTTTTAATGAAGGTTTTGTAAAAAGCACATAAAATTAAAAAAATAAAATAAATCAGTAAAATGAGGTATTAAAAAAGATAACATAACATAGTAATCCGGTGAAAAAATGATTTTCAAACTGAAAATCCTGCCACAAATATTTTTTCAAAGAGTAATTCACAGCAGGGATTCATGTCATCAGAAAAAATATACAATAAACATATTTCTGCCATGGGGTACAAAGACCTTGAGAGAGCATTTAAAACAACGTTTAAGGCACCTTTATGATTAACTACACGTATGCTGACATGGACAAACAGCCCTTGTTGAAAATTTTCATTTTTGGATTTATTGTGTTACTGAGCCAGAGAAAGTAGGCGACCTGTAATATCTGAATGAATGCTTTCTTCATAGAATGTGTTTGAGTAAATAACACTAAGTAACAAAACCACATGTTTCACTTAACATTAGCTTCTTCAGGAGTGTTCACTACTAATAGTTAATAGTTGCCACTGCTAATAGTAGAACTTTCGAACCAAGAAAGAAATGTCATGTTCTGTCACATAAAAGCTGGAGGATAGAACCCATATGTAAACAATTACCCATTAGCATTATTGAATGATACAAAAATTGATTTTTCTGTCTCAATTTCTACAGAAAACATCCACAGCGAGAAATTGAAATAGATAACATGCAATTATGCATGAGAAACACCATACAATGCAATAAATGAAAGTATTTTGTATGTTAACGTAGAAGAATACGTTTTGAAATCAAACTATTTCCTTTGAAATTCTGAAGGATGATACAATACTCAAATTCTTGTGTGTTTCTAGAATATTTGACAATACTGGAAACGTGTTCTGTCACAATGATATATAAAAACATCTNCAATACTGAAAACGTGTTCTGTCACAATGATATATAAAAACATCTAAAATCTATATTATAGAAAAAATTCAAATTGCTTCAACACTGAATTTAGTTGATACCATTTAAAGGAATAGGTAGTACTTATATGTCTCCTTTTTATTTTTTTTGATGTTAATTTGTAAATTACCCCTTGAAGAAAGTACTCTTGGCATTACCTGGAGGCTGATTTTACTTTTTATAAAATAGTGCGGGCACTGCAGAATACAAGTGCTCTACAAATTTTGTGATTGAGTAATCACAATAATCTTTTCAGAGGAAGACGACGAACACCAAGAAGGTCAAGATCTAAGAAGAGATGTCACAAATCACATTCTCGCTCGAGAAGGTCTAAAAGTAATGAAAGATCGAGAAAACGATCTAGATCTGAAACGAAAGAGGCCACACCTAAAAGTCAACAGGAAAAAGAAAAGGAACCTATTTTACGAATTGACAGAGACGCAGAAGATAAATATAGAAAGTTACTGATATTGAGAAAAAAGATGGAATTGTTGGAACTGAAGAAACAAGAAGAACAGGTAATTTTTTTCTTTTAACCTCATAAATGTATCGGTTTTTATAATATCTGTATCATAAATGGTCAGTTTCTCTGACTTCTCAATATTTAATTTAAGGATAAGAATGAATTACAAGTGCAAAACAATTTCTTGACAAAAATAATGTAGTTACACGTGAACCCAGTTGGCAATTAAATATGAATAATGGTAGGTTAAATAATTAAATCGCTCATCACTATTTGCAAGTCTGTGAAGATAAAATACATGTCCATTGATGAAACATCTATCAACTTCAGGAATAATCTGGGATTAATAGAGGTTAGAGAATGTATTGAAGCATGAGGTTCGTGCTTGTTGCGAATCATTTCAATAACTACTATTGCGATTACAATTCAGGCATCGCAAAAATCACACATCTGCAATGTTTATATTCATCCAAACCAGATTAAAAGTGCAGAAGAATACCCGACCGCTCTTAAAAAATACCATCTATCTTTCTGTGAACCAGAGTTTTTCATGCTAATGGACTTTGAAGTGACCGTCATCCCATACACATCTCTTAAGAAAAATCCAAACAATCCTTTACTACTTCTCCGAAATGGCTCTTCAAAACAGCAGCCTCGAATAGTCAGGAAATGTTCCAGTGGTTAACGATAAATTTATCAAGTCCAAAAACCCATTTCCCAGTATTTCAAATGTTAAGTTGATTATATTCAGATTAATTCCATTGTCATCTGTATTATTTTCCCCAGGTATCTCATTTGTTGGTATAATATAACTGAGAATATGATTATAATCATTTATTGGTACTATACTTTTGGTTAAATCTTTCAAACTGTCAACGAAAAATGAATTAAAATATCATGCTACTTTTGCTTCATTTGTTATGAGAAAACTATCAAATTGTATACCTTTGAACTCTTGTTTTCTATTTCCCTTTACTAAACCTTTCAGTGCTTTCCACATAGCCCTACTGTTTCCTTTATTTTTGTCGATCTTTGATTCATAATTCTTTTTAGTTACAATTCGTATCTTTTTGGTAACAAAATTACGACTTATTTTATATTTATCCCAGTCACATTATAGTTTAGTTTCCTTGACTTTTTTATGAAGAAAATCGCGTTTTTTTAGATCTGCCATGATTTCGTCTGTAAACCACACTTTCAATTTGAAATTATTGAAATATTGCTTCCTTTTGAATGGATCATGTCAAGCATCTACAACTTGTTATTTGTTATGAAATAATCGATCAATGAGGATGAATCCTTGGTGATTCTGGTATAATCGTCAACTAATTGATACAGTCCCATGAATTTAATCAGTTGTTTGATTTTTCGGGTGTAAGTGTTCTCTGTGCCCAAACATTCATAAAAATAATATCTTTCAAAATTAGTTCAAATTTCAATCCACTTTTGATATATATGGTAACTCCTCTCGTATGTCTGCTGGATGAATTATAAAGTACTAGCTCATATCCATTTATGTTAATTTCATAAAGAGCAATATCATCCATAATGTGAGTTTCTGATAAACATACTAACAAAGGTTTCTGCAACGAGATACAGTGCAACAAATCATCCAAGTCTTTGTGCATTTGTATAGAAAATGTGCCAACTGCTTATTTTTATTTTTATCCTTAACCTGAGCATTAACATCCACACCCTCACTTGCTATAGATCTGATTGTTCTGGAGTATCCATGGGAAAATTTTCCTGGTCACATGAAACATATATTAAATTTTTATTCGCAACTACATTCTAATTAAGATTTTCGACCATCTTAATAGATAATTCTTTTTTTGTTAAACATTTACCCTTACCATTATTTACATCTATAAAATTAACAAAATTGTTTGTACATTTATTCAACTTATATAGATATGCATTCAGTTTGTAATT